TAAGAAAATCCTTGTATTTGAAAATACCTTTAAAAATTTCTGACATATCAATGTTCCCAAGGGTTAGTGAATCTACCTGTATTCTTCTACCATGTGCCAAACCAATTGCAAAGACATAGAAGTGTAAAAATAGGGTAATACAGAGTCAAAATATGACAACCCTATGAGAATACCTCTCAAAGACCTAAAATGGTAAAGACTAGACAAAATGCATTTTGGGCAAATGGTTTGTGTCCATACTACCTAGATAACAGCTCATGACTGGACTATGTTAATATAAAAAAACACATTTAAAGTAAAAAAAGACAAATCCAAAAAAAAAAAAAAATTAAAATACAACAAGTAAAAAAACATTAAGTTCGGCCGGGCCAAACTTTTAATACCCTCCACCTTAGGGTAAAGGAAACATTAGAAGAAATGTGGCAAAAACCATTAAAATGCCGAATATCGGGAGGTACCGTTATATGTGGGCTCTACCAAATCGTGGACCTACACATGCAAGGTTCCGCCAACGGAGCTAGAACCCATTATGACCTACAAATACCAATTTTCAGACAAATACGTGAAAAAAAGGGGCAAAAATCATCAAATTACCGAATATCGGGAGGTACCGTTATATGGGGGCTATACCAAAACGTGGACCTATAATTACAATGACTCGCCACACGAACTGGGACCCATTATGATCTACAACTACCAAATTTTCAGTGAAATTCGTGAAAAAATCAGTCAAAAATCATCAAAATACCGAATATTGGGAGCTACCGTTATATGGGGACTATACCAAAACGTGGACCTATACATACAATGTTTCGCCACACGAACTAGGACCCATTATGACTCACAAATACCAATTTTTACACAAATCAGTGGAAAAATGTTGCAAAAACCATCAAAATACCGAATATCGGGAGGTACCGTTATATGGGGGCTATACCAAATCATGGACCCATACATGCAATGTTTCGCCACCGGAGCTGGAACTCATTATGACCAACAAATACCAATTTTAGACAAATCCGTTAAAAACTGTGGCAAAAATATTTTGATTATTTTCGAATATCGGGAGGTACCATTATATGAAGGCTATACCAAAACGTGGACCTATACATGCTATGTTTTGCCACACATACAGGGACCCGTTTTGACCTACAAATACCAATTTTCAGACAAATCCGTTAAATAATGTGGCATAAATCATCAAAATACCGAATATCGGGAGGTACCGTTATATGAGGACTATACCAGAACGTGGACCGATATATCTTATTTTCAATACCAACCATCCTAGACACAATACCGATTGCTCTGCTAAATTTTGGCGCTCTACGTCAAATAATGTGGGCTGTATCGTGATTTCAACAGACAGACGGACAGACGGACATCGTTAAATCGACTTAGAATTTTATGCTGATTATGAATATATATACTTTATGGGGTCTACGACGAATATTTAAGGATGTTACAAACGGAATGACAAAGTTAATATACCCTCCTTTCCAAGGTGGAGGGTATAAAAATTGGGTTTCAAAATTATATTCCACAGACTTTCCCAATTAATTGCATATGGCCTTAGCGGCTGAAATTGCTTAACATTGGCCAATTGTTGCAATTTTAGCCAATTGTTGCACTTTTCATTAAATACAAAACCATAATTGCATATTTATGCCGCTTCATGAAAAGATAATATTGTATATTTCAATGCCTGCATGTAAGCCACTGTATTAACATTACACCTGTATTAAGTGAAAAGAAAAACAAAAAAACATTCGATAGCCTGACACATGAAAAGCACGTGTTATGAAGAGGCACCCAAACAAAGCACCAAAGAGTGAGTATCAGCAACAGACCATCTCCTCTCTTTTCATTTTAAAAACAGAATAGATATTCAGTTTGAAGATAACAGTACCGATCTACCCTACCGACCGGCTGCCGAACTACTAAATATTTCAATATCGCTCGTCTCTACCTGCCACCTCTATTGTTAGGTGTAAATAATCAACACGCTGTCTGTCTGCCTGTACGTCGCAATATTGTTGCTGTTGCCTTTAATAAAACCATAATTAAACGAAATAATTCTATTCATGTGCACAAGTATGTGTTTATGTTAAAGAAAAATCCAACAAAATATATGCCCATAGAACATCCGATCGTACGAAAAGTTTCCGAGCAATCAAAATGTTGTTGTGCGTCCATGTTTCGTTTCTATTTTGGCATATCATTCAGTGACATTTGGTCACTTAGTTCTGATAAGAAAATTTAGTTGGGAATATTTGATTTGAATGTGGGAGTCATAGGTGGTATGTTTCCTATCAAAAGTAATTGTGTATATATGATGATTCTGATAACATACGTTCATTATACCCTATACCACAGTTTAACAAGACCAAGAACAGAAATTATCGGATGAGATCAACATTTATTCAGAAATGTTGTTATAGCAACCCGAAAAAGAGGGTGTGTTTTTCAAGTATTTGGTATGGTTTTTACTTGAATATAAAATGATTAAGTTCTTTATATAACAGGGAGGACTCCATACAGGACCATCTGGTATTCAGAATTGGTAATGGTTAGAGTTGGAAAGGAAAGAAGTTCAACCACAGAATGGTCTTTAATTACTATTAGGTTGAAGCCAGAGAAAACTTAAAGGAGGCAAACATAGTATCAAGAGGATTCTTCGCCAAACTCGGAATCGATGATACTGTTCATACCTGTTCTTAGGTCAGAATTGCGTACATCCCGAAGCCGGGAAATTTAGTTCAGAGCATTAAAGACTAAGTAGACATAATTTATTTATTTATTTTATTGTTTTGCCCAATAGTATAGATCAGGTCGGGATCTCATTGGAAACATACAGACATGAAATAAATATTTGTTGAGGCATGCGACACCAGAAAATAGCTCCAAATAAAAAATTGGGGCTTCCGGGGTGTCAAATCATGGACCAACTAGGTACAAGAGTGTGGGAAGATTAATATTAGCTATCGTTCCAATGCCTTTATTGGATTAGATAATGGAATATAGAGGTATTTTAATATAATTGCCATTATGATGTCACTTATAAAATTAAAAATCTTCGAAAACCCTTGTCAAATAGACATACATAATTGAGCAATTTATGATATTCACTTTAACAACATCACTTGTCTTAGAATGTCGATTTAGCCATGGCATAACGGCATATAAAAAATCCGATTTATCGGATACATTTAAAATATATGTTTTACAATGTGTAAAATGGCCTTTTTATACCCTACACATAGTATTATGTGTTGTATATAAGTTTGATTGGGTCAAAAATTATGTAACACCTCGAAATATTGGTCCTTGACATAGGAAACTATACAGGGTGAGATAAAAAACTGCAACAAGTCAAACGCCCTCCAGAGTATTTTCGCGATGCCACGGTCGCCCATGGCGGCCCATACCATCACCATGGCCGGCGCTTGAGCTCTGGTGGGCAACCGAAGGTGCACATTTTCAGCTGACTTCTTGGCAAGTAAACACGATTATTTTGTTTGTTTACAAACTGCTGGACAACGAATGTTTTCTCATCGGAGAAAACCAAATTCGGCAGCAACTCTTTAGCACTTTTGAGTCTATTTTCTTTCTGTTGCGGTGTAAGTTCTTGCACTTTTTGGAATTTCAATGACTTTACCCCGAGCCCATTTTTCAATATTTGCCGAATGGAATATTGCGATATGTTCAGCTCACGAGCCATTTTTCGGTCACTGCGACGCGGGTTTCGATCAAGTCGCTTCTTTACTTTTTCGAACCATTTCTATTGATGTTGCTGTTCTCTTCCATCCACTTCCTTGACGTCGTCACATTTAAATGCTGAAGTGCTCTAACGATAGCCACTTGTGGTTTTCCAGCCAAATACAAACACACTATCACGCTTAAATTCCATCACGAATAACTTTTTTTCTGAAAAATTCCCACCAAAATGCTTTTGTGCGCTTGTAAATAATATAATGAGTAATTGTAACAGCTCTCGGACGAGTGGCTTAGAAATGACAAGAGTCTGAAGTTGGTTGCAGTTTTTTCATCTCACCCTGTAGCTACACGTTTTGATATAGCCCCCATATAACGATACCACCATATTTAACGTGTTATTGAGTGATTTACATCCTTGTGAAAAACTGTCCATATTGTTCCAAGTTGTGTATTCCGTATTTTGATTATTTGTGTAATTTTCACCGGAATCGTTTCGAATTTGGTATTTGCAGTTTCTAATGGATACGACCACCAATGAAATTTTTACAGAAAAGAATTTCTTTGATGACAGTTTACTAGAGTCCCAAATGTAAATTTGGCGCCCGATTTGACGAAGTGAACTTTCGATGTGACACATTACTTGTACACTGCTCAAAAACAAGTTTTTTACAACTCATCGAAAACTTTTTTTCAATTAGCATTGTGCACCATGGTGTTTGTCTTCTTAATTTTTTCATGTTATACAACAAACTGTCAGCTATTAGTTGTTGTTACGCCTTGTTTTTTGATGTATGTATTATGTTTTTTGATGTATGTATTATGCTGCGAATCTTTATTATAATTATTTTTGAAATTGGCGATAAGATGTTTTAATGAGAGTCTGTTTACAGCCATTATAAATATATTTTTATTCGTATGACCACATCATACTTAAAACACTGTGCGCCATATGCCTATAAAACAAAACAAATCTCCCCGTACTCATCAATGTAAACATATGTTTTGGAGCAAGCTATACTTCTCTTCCATCTTCACGAACACTCTGGTTCTTTTTGGCTCCACCAACAGTTATCGACGGCGCGAGAGAAAGAGAGAGATTCTAGAGAGAATGCAAAATACAACACACATGGCATTAACGGAGTGTTGTTTTTCGTATGGCATTTGGCTCATGAGATGACAAATCACAGAGCAAGCCCCAACAGCCAACTTGTGTTGTTGGGGGTTCACTTAACAGTTTTTACACGACTGTTGTTGCTGTATTTCGTATGTGATAACTTTTCGCATGTTAAAATCGGGTGAGATATTTACGCTTTACAGTTTGTCATCGAGTCAGTCGGTCGTGAGACACTGGTGCGAGTGGGTCGTTTTAAAAGAAATCAAAAAAGGGATTGCGACAAAGAATACCAAGCGGAGTGTGTAGAACAAAAAAGAAAAAATATTTTTTGGCAACAAAAAAATTCCTACAATTGGTTAGTGTGACTTTTACATTTCACCTTCTTCTTCTATACATCAATTCGTTAATTTTTTTCAAAAGTGTTTGACAATTAAATTTCCATTGCAAAATTTGTTTAATTTTTACAACGATGTTATAATATTTATGCAACAGCAAAATTTTTACCTAGGAGTCTTTTAAAAAATTAGCTTTTAGCGTTTTACTGCGACTCAGTAATTGCTTTTGATAATTTTTTTTCGTGAAATTTATACAAGATTTTGTCGTCAATTCGTTTCTAAGAAAAGTCTAAATTTTCTGTTATAAACAGCCCATCAAGGAATAAAAAAATACACAAGCATTCGCACACGCACGCCCAGCAGAAGAGAGGGAGAGAGGAGCACCATACCCCAAAAAGTTACGTCAAGCCTTCGCATCGTTAAATAAAAGAAAAAGGTACGTATTTACATATGTATGTAAAAATGTATGTATGTCTGTCTATATGCAGAGTACAAAATGTAAATAACAAAAACAAAAAAAAGAACGTTAAGCAGAAGACAGAACAACTGCAACACAACTTTCGGCAAAAACTTTCTCAAATACAGGTTTTAAGTCTGACAACATTGACAGCGACATTGGTCAATGTACATTGCACAGCGGAGAAAACCAATAACAACAACAACAACAAACTGCAACTACCAAAACATGCAATGCGAATGCATTTTAACCTAAACCGTAATTTGTTTGGTTAAAATTATCATCGTCAATTACACTGCCGATTGCTACTGGCATTGCAATCAACAATGCCGGCATTGTTCTGGAAAGAAAATATCAACACTGTAAAAACCCCCATTACCAAGCAGCGGCACTTTTACATGCATATGTTCCGATGTTAAGTTGGTATAATTGGATGGAACGACGGTTTTTTGGTTTTATAATAATTTTGAAACATTCTTCGTTTTGAATCTGATTAAAGATCGTGCAGAAGAAGCTTCATAAAAAATATGAAAAAGTGGTGTGATTATTACAAACTCGAGTCAAGATAAGGAAATGAGATTATGTTTATACAGTGGATCACAGTAAAATTTAATATACCAAGTCCTAATTCAGACGTAGAGAGTTTGGAATAAACGAAATTAGTTTTTGGAAAAAAGCGATATTTACTCAACTCCCTTACTTTCTACGTGTCGATTGGGATTTATATCTTCGGGACATAAAGAGGATTGAACCATGGCACACCTAGAAAGGTAGTTTAACTTTGACGGAAGTATGAAAATGAAACTGTCGTAGAGATCAATAAAGATCTGTTGGAAAGACATCGTTTGAACAAATCTTTTGTTCTATTACCGTACTAGGGAGTCTGCCTATTCTTAAATTTAAAAATTGAGATCCTGAACTCAAAATTCGGCTTTAATGCGTTTTCATCTGCGAGCGAGCATAGGTCAGTGGTAAAGAAGACTTTCTTTTGTGACAATCTCCCCCATGCAGCGTTGTTTTTGTGAGTGGTGTGATAGCACTTAAGAAAATATGTTTGTATTTTTAGAAAGTGGGGAGTAAAATAATAAATTGGGATCTAATTATAATATAAAGCTATGTATATCACTGTTCAGAAAATATCTATGAATCTCTTTCGAATTTATTGGATTTGCTTCGCTTGATATATATAAGAATCATTTACAACAAAAAGATATTGAAATACTAATTTGGCGCCCAAGTGTGCCAAACTGAAATCTTCTTCATTCTCATATATCCTGTATTAATCGACGTTATAGCTCGTTGAAATAACCCAACTTTCTATACCCTCCACCATAGTATGGATGTTATATTAAGTTAGTCATTCCGTTTGTAGCACCGAAACCCCACAAAGTATGCATTTATTCTTGATCAGCATAAAATACAATGTATATTTAGCGATGTCCGTCAATCTGTGGAATTAACCCAATCTTCCTAAGGCTGAAGTAGGTTGATAAAATTTTATTCAGAGGTGTTTTAAGTCTGTAGGACTTTTAGTATAGAGAATGGAAAATATAGGCCCACGCATAGAACAATTACAAAAGGTAGAACAAAGCTACCCCCGAAATAATATTTTTTTTGGTGCCCTTATTCTGTTAAAACAAATACACATTCATGGTACATGTACACATTTTGAGTATCTCAAATTCGGTTGCAGAATAAATGTATATTTTCGACGTAAATGGGCAACACATTGCAACCATTTTGTGTTAAAAAAAAATTAACACTATAAGACTCCAAAACAGAGTTGCATTTTTTCTAGTGTCTTTGAAGTTGAGCAACCTTTCTTATTGAGCCATGGTTCCACGTTTTGATATAGACCCCACATAACTATAACGAGCTATTTTAGATTTTTCGAACAGAATTTGATGTAAATTGGGGATATGTCCTCCCAGTATGTAGGAAACATCCTTTCAGAGAACTATATAACTCTACCTCTAGATATACGGTATTTTTATTATTTGTGTCACACTTTTCACCAGAATTATGTAAAATTCGTTATTTGGAGTTCGCAATGGGTACTAGCTCTTATGACACAAAATTTCCTGGTCGGATCCACGCCTTCGTAAAGTCCCCACATGGCGGTACCTCCCAATATTCGGAATTTCTATGATTTTAGCTTTCCAAGTTTAAGACAACAGAATTCTCTTAAACTTGGGGTTGAAGTTTGAACGGCATTTACATTTTGCAAGTCCTTCCAAATAGCAGATGATATTAAAAGTTCGGATAAAATGTTTTCAAATCCCAAACAAACAAATAAATCACCCAATAATCAAAAAAAGCTGATTGATTTTTGCAGAAAGAAAAGTAACAGTTAAATGTGATTTAAGGAGACATTTCACCGGCAAGAAAATGGAAACTCTCAGTTAAAGAACTGTCGAAATTTCTCTCACGCATCGTTCTCTTTGGAGAACTTTTGTATTAACATACGACTTTCAGTAACGATTTGGAACAATTATTAAATTTTTTTGGGTAACTAGGCCGATTACATGCTAATAGTAGATTTGCAGTTTACGGGATTTACTACAGTGGATTTACATTTTCAATTCTATTGCATATGCGTAAAATAAATTCTCATCGAATGTAAACATACAGAAATGGTTTAGTTAGATAATTTCAAATGCAAATCAACATTTATTGCAAACATGTTTGTTGAAATTCTGACTGGGAGGACTGGTATGCACTCGTCTACAGTTCTACAAAAATTTCTCAGACCTTTAAAATAACTGTATGAAAATAATACATCTAAAACTATTTTTGCTCCATAAAAACTCTCAACACATGAACTTGAATGTCTTTTCAAGACTATGACCTAGATTAAGGTTCCACCCTATCTATACAAACTATTTTCACAAAAAAAGTTATCAACTTGACATTTTTGTCTGGTTTGTTATTTTTTTATAGAAAAAAAAACCCTCGACTTTGATCCGTTAATCGTTGAAAATGGTCTGCCTACCTTATCAACGTTATTCAATTGGATTAAGTGATAGTGAACTGTATAAATAGCTTTTATACATTTTTATTGTTTTTTATATTAATATAAAACAACAAATACAGTTGTCGAAATAACTAAGTTAGTTCCACTGCGAAATATTATGAGTGAAAAAATTTAAATAAAGTGATATGCTTTGATATTTTTTATTTTTAAATAAATGGATTTCTAGGAGTGGTGATAAGTTTGTTCAGGATCCTATTTATGAAACTGACTGAAGGGCAAAACAAAGTCCTGTTCGAATTGATCAATCGATCCAAGCGTGATGACAAATTTCGTTTGCCCTGCCTGCTTCCCATTGTGGCAGACAGTGATAAAGCATACCCTGCCCTACACCTGTATTTTTTTGGCAAGAAGTCTGTTGAAGAATACGTAATACCTCAGAGGTTGGGGCAGATAATCTCTGAACACATATACAACAACATATACATATCGTGTCAGACATAACAAATTGTTTTTTTTTTCCTATCAGGAAAGAAACTAATTTAATCCAAACAATAATATGTTATTCCATCTCCTGTAAAATATGCAATATTGAAGTATGTGCTTTTCTTTATCAATATACAGGGTGAGATAAAAAACTGCAACAAAGTCAAACGCCATAACTGCAACAAAGTCAAACGCCATTCCCCGAAGAAGCGCTTGCTTGAGGTGATCGACACCTTGGGATTTTTTTATGCCAACCTTGCTTTCCAAAATACTCCAGACACAATAGACCAACGGATTGGTATCCGGAGATTTCTGGCCATTGTGCGCTGGAAACGAAGAGAGGAATCTGATTTTGTAACAATTCTTGGGTGGCGCGAGCTGAGGGCGATGCTTTCCAAGGTCTGTGGCCAAAATGTTTGCAGGTCCAAGGCTTTAATACACCCTCCAGGATATTTTCGCGATAATATTCAGCATTTATTCTACTGCCACGGTCGATTAATACGTGCGGAGAGCAACCATCGGCTGTTATGGTGGTCCACACCATCACCATGGCCGGCCCATGAGTTCTGGTGGCCAACCAAAGGAGCACATTTTCAGCTTTTCTCTCATCGGAGAAAACCAAATTCGGCAGTTCACCACTTTCGGCCAAGCAAAGCAACTCTTGGCTCTTTTGAGTCTATTTTCTTTTTTTGAATTTCAATGGCTTTACCCCGAGCTCATTTTTGAAAATTTACCAAATAGAATATTGCGATATGTTCAGCTCACGAGCTACTTTTCGGCCACTGCGACGCGGGTTTTGATCAAGTAGCTTCTTTAGTTTTTAAACCATTTCTGATGATGTTGCTGTTTTCTTCCGTCCACTTCCTTGACGTCGGACTACGCTACCAGTATCACGGTAACGAGCGATGGTACGAGACACAAAAGATTTATTCATATTTAGATGCTGGAGTGCTCTACTGATAGCCACTTGAGGTTTTCCAGCCAAATATAAAGAAATCACACTATCACGCTTCCATCGCGAATAACTCTTTTTCTTGTAAACAATATAATGCTTGTAAACAATATAATGACCTGTCACTGGAGCAATTTTGTCGGACGAGTGGCTTAGAAATGACAGCAGTCTGAATTTGGTTGCAGTTTTATCATCTCAATCTGTTTACATATGGTGTCAGACATAACACATTGTTTTTTTGCCGATTAGAAAAGTAATTGATTTCATCCAAACAATAATATTAAAAATAAAAATTGAAAAATTCAGCTATTCCCTGTTTCGTAAAAATACGGAATATATTAGTTCGGGCTTTCCTCTATCAAGATGCATTATTCGGACGAGAATTTTCATTGTCAGTTTTGTAAAGTAACAGTACAATCACACATTGTAGTTATTGAAGTTATTGCCTTTGAAATAATCATTTTACTATCCTGTTTGAAAACAAATAGCCATAACAATTTTAGCAAAATATACTACTGGCAATTGTCAATTTTATTCTCTTTAATGGCTCATTTTGTTGTCTATTCTCAT